TAGGTGATGGGAGTGACTGTAATTAACAATGGGACTTGTACATCTTTCTCTGGTGGAGTAACCGGACGAGCCATACTGAGGTTAGGCGTAGGGTTTTAGGCAGTCGCGGTCGTCCGCTGGAGCAAGTGATCGACCTTGGGGGCGGGTTAAGCATGTCACCAAATAGGTTAGCACTGCGAGCAATGTTTGCCGAAGCAGATAGCGGTTGGAAAAAGTCAAGGGTGGTCAAGCTAAGACCTGTCATGAGGGTATGAAAACCCTAGCCAGGAGTCTAGGTCATATAGGCTCCGTTAAGCTCCCTGGCTGGGGACCTCAGGATGATGGCCACCGATGGTTAGAGACACTAAGTGATATGGTTGGGTGTCGTAAACAGTGGCGTTCGGGTATCCGCTCATTATTCCCCTGACACAATTCTATATGAGTTTTCCAACTTCCGCTTGAATTTGCTTTCAATATTCCAATCTTCATTCTGCTCTTTATCCAAATCGAGTACCAAAAGACAGCAACGAAAACCGGTGCACGAAAGTGCATGGTTGTAAAAACTGAACTTTCTCAGATCCCATATATTTGTTTTGACAACAAACTGCTTCCCCTGATTCAGTGATTTCTGTTCTTGTTTTCCCTCTCCTCAGGTTATCATTCTCGATCTGCGTGTCCCGTGCACACCTGTGGCTCGATTAAACAGTCACCGGGCTTATGTGAATGGCTTGGCTTGGGCACCACATTCAAGCTGTCATTTGTGCACAGCATCTGAGGATTGTCAAGCTTTGATTTGGGATATTCAATCCATGCCCCGAGCAATCGAAGATCCGATTCTGGCCTATACAGCCGCCGGAGAGATCAATCAAATCCAGTGGTCATCAACACAACCAGATTGGATTGCAATTTGTTACAACAGTGCTATGGAAATCCTGCGTGTCTGATCGCAACCAGAAAGACGCGCCTACTTACCAGCGACGTGGCTAACAGAGAAACCTCTGCTTCGGATTTGTTCACAGCCGACACGGTGTCTGTTGCTCCTCTGCTACAACAGACGAATCAATCGACGTTTATGCACATACTGCAGACTGCTCTCGTTCCAACCCAATGTGTATACTTTAATCAGTGGTTTCTGCATACTTTGCTTTTGTATCATTGAGTTTGACTTCATTAAAACATCACGAAGATTTTCTTCTATTGGGTCAACGTATGGTTGATGGTAAAGGAACCAGACAGCATAAAAGATAACTGTTGGTCAATACCGAGTGGAAAAGCAGAAAATCCTCGTGTCAGAACGGAGATGTATTCAGTCTTCGAAATGGTTCACAATGTACGCGTGATCCGGGTTTGGTGACAAACACACACTGCGTGCAGTTTGTTGAATCCTGATTTGTTCATGTTGGAAAGCAGCATACTTCACTAAATTAAAATACAATGCGGAACGCAGTACAACTAGTCAAGGTCATCTCAACAGCTTGCCAGAGGTCGTGCGTTCCAATCCCGCCACCGCCTATTTCATTTTATTTATTTCTTCGGGTAGTTATTGATTGATCAAGGGTTTTTGAAAATTGACTGTTTGGTCAATAGAAAGAAACCGGAAAGATAATATTTTTGATAGACAGATTATGATTCATCCTGGCAGAAATTATGAGAGCACCGCTGGAGGGAAGCCTGTTTAGCGAAATTCGCACCGCTCCCACTATTACGGGAATTTGAGGGTAGGCTATTTTACAAATTGATCCTGTAAATGCTAGAGAGGGATTCTGAGGTATCAGTTCAGTTGCACATTCACTCCACATGACAAAATTACATTTCGAACGCGTCCAGGAATCGTTGCATGTCTCGGTAAAAAAACTAATTTTTTTACTTGAAACACCTTGTGATTAATCAAAATACAGTATTTAGGGCGTTGATGATGGCTGTCTACCAACCAGCAGTACATGGCTATATCATCTGTGAGAAAACAAAAAATTGTTACTCTCCGATGCGATTGCCAATAGCTGGAACACTTACATATAAGCATCTCTTGATACAGCTGTGTTGCGATCAAGATTGTGGACTGAATGCACGTGATATATCTACTCCCGCGAAGTTATTGGTTTGCTGATCACAGGTCTGAAGCGTCTAAGTGATTCTCACGATTTTTTATCATATCTTTATCGATTACCTGCATTATGGGTTAGTGCTTGAGTTTCTCGCATTAAGCTGCCCTGAGAGTAGGAACTAATTATATTTCTTGTGAACAAGGCTACGCATTGGAGTCCGACCAAGCGTCAGTTATTATACTCTTCACAGAAAAACAGAAAACTCGGTTAGCACATCATCACTTCTCTGACCCAGCGGTTCATACCCGCTATGAATTTAGATCTAGAGCATGAATTAAGCGTGGTAATGTAGATGAACCATTTGGATCAGATTAGACGAGCAATGTACTCCGCAGCAAACGTTAGTTGTGGATTTGAGCATCAAGCCCACCTGAAACATTAGATATCTCATGAGTCAGTAGCCCGAATGGAGAAGGAGCGACAGATCCCGACCAGCCAAAATCAAAACACCGGCGAGCGGTGTCTGCAACATCAACTTACAAAACGCCCCAAGAGGGACTGCGAAAACTGTCGGGTAACGTCTAGTAAAACGGAACTTGCCTCTGCATCAAGGAACAATTAAAAACTTCCAGCTAATAAGAAAAACACGGGATGTCGGCGGACCTCAGTTAATAAAACGATTTGCGATACAAGCTATTAATAACAGTGAGCAACGGCTTCAGTGCTAAGCGGAGTATTTCAGTAAACAGTTCTGTTGATCTGGTGCTGTCCAGATTACTTTATTTGCAACTGAATCTTCATGGGCATTGCCATTTGATCCCCCCACAGAGGCAGAAATCCTATCTTACATCCAAGTTCTGAAGAGTTTAAAGGTGATAGGACCTGATGGGCTTCGCCCCACTTTATTCAAGAGGGGGTTGATGACCCCATGGACTTGACTACAGATGTACCACATTATATCTGGCCGCTGAAGCGCATTCCATCATCTTCGGTCGAATCATCGATAGTTCCAATTTACAAGAAATGCACAGGGTGATTAGGGCAAGTAGGTGTCTCTCATCATCCGGGTTGGGGTCCAAAAGACTGTTATGGCATGGTTGGAGACACTGAAGGTCATGGCAGCAACCGACAGCAGTGGCGATTTTGTTGTCACTTTACCAGACCAGGATGCTTGAAACAGTGTGTGCACCGTTGGATTGTGTACTCTGTGTTGACTATAGAGGTTCATTTTCTTTTCCCGTCCCTACAAATAGGCCTAAGCTCTATCCGCCTCATATATTATATATTTTACACTTTCACACACGTCTGAATCCAGACTATATGCCAAACAAATCATGGTAAAATAATCTTTGTGAAAAAGAAAAACGTTCCATGACTTGCATCTGAGTTGAATACTGCCGGGTTGCCCAGGCCAAGGAAGGTGAATTTTCTTGAGGAATCCCCAGTTGGAGCCTTTGACTAGCCAAAGCCTGACTCGCAAGGCAGCGGGCGGTGTGCGAAAACCGCAATCCATTGGGGGCCGGTGTCCAGTTCATCGGACCATACAACTCCCCATACGTGTTCTTCCTTACTTGACCGCAACCACGTTTTGGCTGGTGATACCAATAAAGATTCGCACTGTTCTCCAACTGTCTTTTTACTGGAATCGTTGGGATACGTATCGTAAGACCAGGTTCTGTAATAGTTTGGCAAGACATAACACTCGTGCATACTCCTCCTTCAGGCGTGCACGTTGAATTAAGTTGTGCATGTCATACGAATTTCGAGTTATTTAACGCAAGCGACTGGAGAGAGTAAACAAAATGTTAACAACAGTGGCCATATGAGAATCAACATAAACAGTGGAGCGAAACAACTGTTATAATTCCCCAAGGCAGTGCCGAGATTAGGAAATTTGTTTATTCGGAACAGCAAGAATGTCGATAAATTGGAGTGCACAGAACAAAACGTTTCACCTGTTCGCCGAGCTTGACAATTTGTTTGCAAAAAAATTGCCAAGCTCGGCGAACAGGCGAAATGGAATTCAGTTCACCCGAACTACGAGAACCGATTTTCAATATTTTGTCAGAACAAAACGTCTTATCTGGAACAGGTAAATCATAATTTCCACTGGGAAGTAGGTTATTTGATGGACCGATCCGTCAATAGGTAAGCGTTGTCCCTAGTTACAGCTTTAAAAACCTACCCGCTACAGGAGATCTTGTTCATTTCTGACCATAGTGAGAATCCGCCATTCACAACCATTTGCGCGTTCCGAACACACCATTCACAAATGTGAGTAGTACCTCACAAATAACGAAATTTATTGCACACAATGTGATCAAAAGTAGACCGGGAAAACCCCATAGTTACGAAGACCCGCAGTTCAGTGGTAGAAACCGGTATCCTAAATCCCGGGGAAGGTAATTTCAATACCACAATACAAACAGCCGAAGCCAAGTCCGAGCTTACGGCACTTTTTCGCCCGAGTTCACCAGGGAAAGTGGTGTTCGTCAGGGTTGCCCTCTCTCTCC